ATTATCACAGGATGCTGTGTTGGTATGAACAGTAAGTAGCCATTTTTTACTTTAGAAACCTTATAAACCCTAGAGGAAATTTTAACAAATACTAACAAATATTTAAGTTACTCCAATCATAACTCGGAAAAAAGGTGAAGAGAGTTTAGGTTACCGTTGGACCTGACACAGAATGTGCCACACCACCACAATGACTTGTAACTATATCTTCCAAATTCCTCTCTAGTAAGATAAGTACCTGATTATCTTTCCCTGACTACATTACACTGCAATTCTGTCTCCTAGATAGTCATAAAACAAATCACCCACTGATTCAATAGCCTATATGAAGAACAGCTGGAAAATTACATAGTGCATCCCAAGAGAAGAAATGTAATTTTCATCTGTATCTTTTTTTAAGTTACAATACTCCTCTTCTCTCCTCTGGCTGTATATAGATACAATATTGTTATCAGCAAATATATTTACATAATGCAATCAATTCCTAGTGAGACATGGTGACAGAGATATGAAAAAATGATGTTCATCTTGCAAGCACAACCATTAGTATTGCAGGAGAAAAACCAAAACCCTTAACACACCCAGCCCTACACCTTGGCAGTGTAATTATTGGGAGCTCTGTAGCTCCACATGATCTATCTTGTTCATAGCATTCGCTTTTCAGTGTAATGATATAAATAGTTACATGAAAGAGATTGAGTATATCTGAACCTGATAATGCTATATAATCTCTTCGGCAAAGATCTAAGTATCACTTTCAAGACAGAGAACAAATGCTAGAGTTGCAGTTTGACCTAGGCTCTTTTATTGCATTTTGCAAGGGAAAGGATGGTGGAGTGTCTTTATAAATATTAAGGAAGTGACAAAATGAAAATTCCTTTATAGCACAATGAAAGCAGATGTAAAGTCTGCTCCCTAGCACTGAATAAGATCAGCTCATCACCACCACAGAAAGAGAATAAAACAGTACAAAGCCTTTGAGAATGCTTCCAGCGCTTCCTGATGTTTAATGTATTTTTCTAACAACATAGATGAGAATAAAAAGAAAATACACACAAGATCAGAATGGTCTGGGTTGGAAGGGACCTTAAAGATCATCTAGGTCCAACCCTCATGCCGTAGACAGGGACACTTTTCACTAGACCAGGTTGCTCAGAACCCCATCCAACTGGTCTTGAAAATCTCCAGGTATGGAGCAACCACAGCTTCTCTGGGCAACCTGTTCCTGTGCCTCATAGTAAAGAATTTCATCCTAATATCTAATTTAATCCTGTGCTCTCTTGGTTTAAAGCCATTACCCCTTGTCCTAACACAATACATCCTTGAATATTCTTGATTGATAGTTGAAAAGGTATTGAAAGCAATGTAGTTTAAACATTTCCTCATGTTCACCTGTAATGCCCTTTCAGTTGCACAAATTGCTTGAGTGAATGTCTAGTTTTATTGTCTTTATATATGGATATCTAAATCTGACATATAGATAAATAATTGGCTGAAAGCAGTTCTTACAGTCCTGTGAAGCTTCTTAGATTTAGTCTTATAATTGAATTTCCTCAAGTATTATAAGTTATCAACTACCTCTTTACTCAATTCCATTGTCTGCTTAAATCAAAGCTAACAAATATCCTTAGTACTATGAAAACTACAATTTCAGTCAATTATTTTCACAGCTTTCTGTATGCAAGAATGTTTTTTAAAATTGGTATAAAAGGAGTATGTTTTATATAACAGCAACTACGCTAATTAAGATTAACTCTAATTTCAAATGAAACATTTAAGCATTTTTCATTGTTCATACTAATGTAGAATCCTGCAGTGAGTCAAGGCACTAAGAGTATTCTTGAAATATCATGACATCTAATTCTTTTTTAGATGCTGGCCTTGATGGGTTTGAACTGAAAGGCACACAGGCTCTACTTCCAATACTTTCAAATTTAAAAACCAGGACAGTATTTCTATCCAGCCATGATGCAAAAGATAGATTGGTGTCCACCTGTTCAAATGACTGACTGAAAATGCACTCCATGGTAGACTTCAGCCTAAGGCAAATATACTGTGATCACAAGGACTGGTACTATTACTAAATAGCAAACAGTTTTAAACCACAACAGGTGTTAATTCCTAGACTCAATGACTAAAAACATTACATTCAGGAAGATCTCTTAGAGAATGAATGTCTTTGGTAACAGGCTATATTAATATGTAATCTAAATCCTGTGAGGAGGATCGTGTAATCTGTTTATTCTGCAGTCTCCTGAAGAACCTCACAACAAATCAAGAAGCTGCATTTCCTCCTCAACCCTCCTTTAAAGTTCTCCTACATTTGAAGGAATTCACTGTGCATACCCTAGTTTCACACAGTAAGACAGACCAAGGCTGCCTAAGTGGCCAATAATAAATAGCAAACATGTTGATGTGTTCCCTCAGTTTAGGTAAGCACCCAACTGATGTAAATCTGTGTGGTTTTATTATGTCTCTCTTTCAGCCTGGACTAGAAAGGAATGTAAAGTAGGCATTGCACTGGGTGTGTAAAAGCTGCCAGAAGAGCCCACAGAGCATTCTTGCTCTCAAAATAGCTTAGTGGATAACAGAGACAGCTCCAGATAATTCCAGATCTGGAATTAAGTGTACTGACTGTCTTACCAATAGAGCAAAGACAAAACTAATTTGGTTGTGGACTTGTGTTACACTCAAGTGCCACATTCCACATTTTATTAATTTACACAACAATACTAACTCATATTGGCTTGCATGATTTTATAGAGGGACAAAATTTGACCACCTCTTCCTATTATTCTATTTACCTGCTTTTTGCAATGTTTCTCATATGGGTAGCCTTCTGGTACACATTTGGTAGTCCAAACAATACAGAAATTGCAGTACAGTGCAGTATTTCCATCTTTTTCAGAGACTTTTCAAGTTAATAAATAGTCTCTATCCCTTTATTAATACAATAAAAACAGTCTCTGCTATAAGAAAACTGGACTATTGAAATATAGTTTACAGGTGTACAGTTGAGGGGATTTTGTCCTTAACATATAATTTGTTGTGCAATCTATCTGTCTTTAAGTGTTTACAGAACCTTAATCTTTTTGAGCTGACTTCCTTTTTGTTCAGTTTGGTGCCAAAAAGAACATAAAAGATTCCATATGAGATTACACAGCTAAACCCAAAAGGAAAATATTAGGAACAAATATAATATTTTGAGGTTTCTTAGTTTGTTTTACTTTTAATACTGAGCAGACTGTTTACACAAATCATTTTGCTGTAAAAGTAACACATAATGAGTTAAATGTGTGCAACATCACCATCAATCACATTCATCTGTGTTTGACCAACCAAACATTTATTGCACATTAAATCACTTTCTAATCATGTTATGAAGAAGGCGGAACAAACACACATTCCAAGCTTTCATTAAAAAATACAGAAGTTTCAGTACATTTTCCTGGCAATCTCCTGACTTGTGGGAGACTCCACTAATAGTATTTGCCCAAGGAATTTATGAAGGCCTGACAATATTTTCAATGTTCTTAATGAAAAGGGGTGAAAGTTCTTTTTAGGGAATGGGAATATTTCTCTTCAATATAGTCCTCTTTAGCAATTCTAATCAATGTAGCTGCTCTGCTACAATACACTTCTGATTCACAGTCACCACTCAGTAAGGTTTCTTTTTCAAGTTTTCTGAGTGAGACAGACATGAAAAAGAACATCCTTTCAGCTAAATAAACAAACTTTTTGTAATCACCAATAAGGTTGGAGTCTCATAAATATGTCTCAGTTCTTATACATTATTTGGCTTCAGATTTTAAATTAGTCAGATATCTTTGGAAGTGATGACGTGCATTTTACATGCCTAGAAAATTCATTCTTGGTTAAGTGGCAGACATAATTTTAACCAGTTCTAACAGAGTATTGCCATCTCAATGCACTATCTTATGGCATTTTTTTTCTCCTAGTGCCATCTGAAGATGACATTTGCAGTCACACAAGTTAAGGTATGTCTTCACACTGCTCTGTTTATAACTGTATATAATCACAGACACAAGAGCAAAACTGACATTGATAGCTTCCTCCAAATCTAATTCATTGCTATTTTTATGCTTATCCTGTGTATATAGAAATATAATCTGAGTAGTGCATTGCAAACCTGAGCCTACATCCTAAAACTGTTCATCAGTGAGACAGTCTAATCTACTACTGTACTGGAATTATTATAAGAATATGTTATAAAATAAGAAAACATTGGATTTAAGGCAGATAAAATAATGGCAGAAGTGGTTAGATATATTTTCTGGAAACATGCTAGCTTTACATTTCCAGTTTTTGACTTGTTTAAATGTTTTAGCTGCAAATCCAGGCCATAAATGTGTGTGTCTATAGTACAGTTCCCCCATAGTCCAGTTTATCATTTTGTGAATCTCTCATTTTCTCACTGCAAATTTAAAATCACTATTAAAATAACTTGAATTAAAACTGAGGAGAAGCAAATACATGAATGATGTTGTGGGAAGTTGAGGCTTTGGTTCTAACACATTTTCTTTATTTACTCACAGTCAGAGGTTCTCTAGCCACTTGATGTAAAAGACCAAAACGACCAGTCCCTTTTTCTGGGCACTTTGTTGCTATATTGGACTTACATAAATCATATTTTTGCTTTAGCAGCAGTGACTTTTCTCATACAAACATGTGGTTTGTCCAAAATCAAGCAAAACCACCAAACACCAGAAAATATCTCCCTAGTAAAGGATGCTGCTATGGAAAATCATTTAAAGGTCAGAGGCTTGCTGAATAAAAATAAAAACATACCTTGACAGAATCTGGTTCATTGCCTAATTTGTAGGAGAAAACTTTTGTATGGGAATTGTGTGCTGTTTTTTTCAGTCTTACAAAATCTGTTAATGTCTTCCTATCTGCTTCACATTTGAATCATGTTCTCTACTCAACTCTCTGACAACCTGAATTGCAGACTAATACATTTTAATGAGACAAGACATTACCTTTATGAATGACCTCATGGAGAAGAGGTTGGCTAACATTGTTGAAAGGCCTGGTGCCAGGCAGCTCTGGGCTATGAAACCCAGCTTGAGCTCAGCAAGACAGATTGCATCATCCCCTTCTTTCCAGTTCCAACTTGGGATATTTAGCAGATGGGCCTGGAAAACAAATAAACAAACAAAATATCCCCCAGGTGAGTAACCAAAAATACTTCCTGAAATATAGTATGGTATTGAAGAAAATAGCAGTGAATGATTTTCTCTGTTAATGGCTTAATGTTTTCTGAGTAGGTAGAAGAAGTTCAAGTACTTCAGATTAATTGCCTAGAGGCCACCAATCCATCCTGGGTAATTCTAGCATAATAAACTATGCAATACTTATAGAAGTTAGGCAGTTAAAAGCTAATCTGGAATCAATAGCAACTATGGACACTGTAGCTTTGAGAATTAGATCCTAGGCAACTAATATATGTCAGGATTTTGATAAAGTCCCCTGCATATATAAATAAAACTGAATTGCTTTGCAACTAGATTACATGACAAGGCTTATTAGGACGTTTTACTTTGGAAAGAAAAAGGCTTACTATTAGTGGAACCAGTTATGTAGGAGTGAATGCAAAGTAGCAAAAAACCAAAGAGAAACATTGTTGGTCATCATGTTACCTTATTGTGATACTGCAACATCTGAGTGATAATTCTTATCTTCGGATGATAATTCTTTATTGAAATTACTCTAAAAAGAAAAGGAAAAACTAATAAAGTACCTTTTAACTGACAGGATATTTAGATAATACATCCAAATAACTCCATTGTGTTGTAAGTCCACAATTAAAATTGTACCCTCATATCCACCTGGCTGTAAAGCATATCGACTGAAGTCAGAACTATGCAATATATACACCTAGTCAAACTGAGATAATAACTAGTTCCTAATAATAGAGAAAAACAAACATCAGGAAATATTCAGTTGAATGTTTTCTCTTACGAAGTCTGCAGAAAAAGAGACTTGTTTTAGCAAATCTGTTCAGATATTCCATTTATTCTCCTAGGAAAATAATACACTTGGAACTATTATGTCATCTTCAGTGATTATCCTTCATGTCTTTGTATCAACATAATTGATCAAGTTTTCCAATGATAAATGTCTGAAAAAACCCCTTTCTTCCTTCCCCATCACATATTATTTATTTATACCTGCTCGACATTCATCATATTGAAGTACCTCAAATAATGATTTTACACACTCAAATTCATCTTAATTTTTATGGACTACTCCAAAGCTCAATATCAAAATTGATATCTGAACGATGAATTTATAAAATATGGGGCTACTTTCATAATCTGCAGCTTCTCTGCATTCTTAATTACTTCATGAGTGTAAGATATACTCAACTGTGTATAGATCTTAAGTGGATGGAAAAAAATTGCTTGAGAAATGTTTGGATTGATAATGCATTACAAAAAAGCATTGAACAAAATTAAAGAGATGAACAGGCCAAAAAAATCAGTTTTGTATTTACAAACTGAAGGTAGAGAAAGAAGATAAAACAATTTAAAAAAAAAATGACTTATTATGGTACCATCAGTCTCATAAGACTGAATGCCATAAGTGTTTACATCAGTGTTTTGTAGAAAGTATCTTGAAAACTGCTAGTCTGGCTTGTGCTTTGAAGCATATCAAAGCTAGAATGGGAAACATAAAAAAATTGCATTACTTTAACAAGTCTTTCTTCTAATTTTCCCTTTCTCACTGAGTTGTTTAATTAAACATTCAATTTTTTGAATTAAATTGTGAGAAAACACCAGAGAATTCCACTTTCAAATTACACTTTTGCATTTTATTACATTAAATGTATTAAATCTTTTAAGAATTCACTAATCTCCAACTGGAATATTTTAATGTATTTATGCAACCAACGTCAAAATAAAGTTTCTCGCATTGCAACCCACACCAAGCTTGTAAAATGAAATTAGGCATATTTAAGCCCTGCATCTTCCTCAGACAGCCACATCTCTTGCACGCAGTGAAAGTTTTCCAGAGGAGCAATTTTATAACTCATTTTTTATTTCTACCCTTCCTTGCACAGCATGCAAACGTCTGACAAGCCAATCAAATTTGTTCATAACACTGGCCAATCCAATGATAGAGAACTTCTAACGAATCAATCTCGTTAAAACAAGAGCAGGATGAACAAAACATAAAATGTGGAATGGCATGGGTTTGTTGTAACTCTACTGATTGGCCACCTACTGACTGACTGTTTCATCTCCTTCCTTCAGAGACTTCAAGGAGGAAAGCAGGAGGAGGTTAGTGGTCCCTATTGTGGTAAATGGCTTGTCAATCAAAAAAAGTAATGATTGGTCTTCAGCGTAAAAAAAGCAGGATGGAGATAGGAGACCACTCTACTGTATACTTTGCTATCCCCTGAGCAGCACATTGCTTGTAGGAGCAGATATACCAGGGGGAAACAAGGTGTGAAGTGATGAAGTGTTCTTCTGTCCCATCATTAATAGCAGCCCGTGTAGCTCATGTAGCTCTCATAACATATTGTTGCAACAATATAACTGCATTCCCCTTCCTCTCTTCATTCAGCTATGAATACTCAACCTAGGTCCTGCAAAATTACTAAGAGTACCAAAGCTTGGGCTCCAAGTGTCTCTTCTGAGACACAATGAAGCAGCCAAATCAAACAGTTTAGGTAGGAATTGAGGATATTCTCACCTCTGAACTTTTGTGACACTTTCAATTTGTCCAAAAAAAAAAAAAAAAAAATCCTACAGTGTTCTTTAAGTGCAACAGATCAGAAAATCATCTAATCTGAGTTAAGAACCAAAAAGCTATTAAAAACTCCAGAGTTTACCTCATAATATTGGAGGCATCTTCAGCATCTGGGTCAGCGCAGTATTTATTGGCAAGGATTAGGCACGCATCTGCTGACTCTATCTGAGACACCAAAGAAAAAGAAAACATGTATAGCAACGTCTCTTTCCAGCTCTTCTTTCATCATGAAGTATCAGGGAATCCAGCACTGCCATTGTGAGTGTGAGTGTCAGTTCTTAATACTGCTGATCAAAAATGTTACTAGGTTAATGTGAGTTAATGTGAGTGATTATAAATCATAACTGCTCTCATACACACACAGCAGTTCCTTGAAACTTGATTATGATGATCAGAGCAGGTTAGTAGTTCAATTGTCGACTCTTACTTTATATCAGCTGAGCCATGAAGGTGTTAACATTAATCTTTTGTGACCAGATATTGGAATTTAGATCTCCCAATCCATACAAAGTTCCTGTTACATCAGGACAGTGTTCCCACAAGTCCTGCAGCTTTCTTTGGGAATTTAAGTACCTCCTATTATAGACAGGAAGAGGAGGCTGAATTGATGATTTAGAATCTGAGTACCAGATTTAGAAAGTAAGAGGAAGACAACTGATCTGTTCACAGGACCTCTAGATTCAGAAAAACCTTAGCTTTACAGAACTCAAAGCATATGAAAAAAAGTATTTTTTCAGTGTGTATAACCAACTATCAACACAAATAAGGGGGGAATACAGAACACAAAACATGAACACACAATTTTATGGTCATAATTAGAACATGTTCTGATGAACTGAAATTGTGTGCATTGGGTTACAAAAGGTTAAGCAATTTCTGCAGTCAAAATGGACAAAAGATGTGATTAGAACCCCAGAAAGGATTAACAACACTATGCTAAAATATTCTTGGCTTAAATAGCCAGTTTACATTCCGCTGGGGTTAAAAAAAAAAGAAACAAAAAAGTTACTAATGTATTTGACAACTTGGTTTTTCCTTAAAATTTTTTAATCTTCATGCTTTGCTTTAAGAGTACAAAAAATTTACCATTTAGAATTCTAGAAAATAAAACTATCTAATTTTAGCTTAATTATCAAAAAATCTTAAAATGTATTTTTCTTTCAGTATTCTAGGCAATATAAAAAGGTTCAGGAGGTGAAAAATGAGTATTTTAAGCCGCTACTGTAAGACAATGTTCTGCTATATCAAACATTAAAGTAAAATAGACTCTTGAAACGTCAATGAAACATTCATAAAGAGTTTAATGGAATGGCAGACAATGTGTCTTAAGTCATTGTTACTGTAGTTTTGAAAATCTAAAGATATAGGGGAAAAAAGGTTTACAAGGACAGACATTATAATTTATTAGTCAAGCTAACAGAGATGGAAAACCAATCTTTTGGGGTTACATGAAGAAGGGCTTTACTGTTTTTTTCCAAATAATGCAATGAGTACTTTAAAAAAGTCAATTAGCAGGAGAACAGAACAACAGAGCTGTTACCTTCACTCTCGCCAGGTCATGGGGATTAAGGACTGAACCCTGATAAAATTCCACCTGAGTGAAGTGTCGTTTAAAAAGAGCTTCCAGCTCAAGGTTAGGGGAGATACTGCATTGGGAAGAGGAAGAAAACACAAGCGAAAATGAGAAATCAGCTTACATAACTGCCCCATTTCCTTCGTTTACAAACCCACCCATTTATTACTTCTGTTGATGCTTTTTCTGTGATGCGGCAACAGTGTGCAATACTTAAAAGATAAACACTATATTGCTTTCACTTTCTTATTTCTGTCCCCAGTGCTTCTGGCTCACTTCATTGCGCTACTATCCACGTTCATCCTTTGGCAGTTTCTCACAAATATGAATGCAGAAGTATGGGTGCAAACATTTGAAAACATCCTCTCACAGTTTTCTGCCTGGAATTTATCTAGTAACACAATCATCCTCTCCATGTCCCCACCATTCTCAAAATGGCAGACTGCATGAATAAAAGAGCTCAATGCAAAAATCACTAAAAACCAAAAAAAGAAACCCTCTAGGAATCCTGTGGCTTGTGTGAGCTGCAAATAAAACAGACACAATGATGCTGTGACCTTCTGTCTCATTTCATTTTGCCAGAAATAAAAAAAAAAAATTAAATGGATCACAGTCAATTACATAATGTGGCAACAACCTTGTAAATATCTGTTCTGATGCCACTCATTAAAACAGAAGGGATTTAATAGCTGCGCAGTAAGTGCATGAGACCTTTGCCATGCCAAATGCTAAATTTAATAGGAAAACTAAAGAGATACATGCAAGTATTTGTCGGTGAAGGTACAGAAGAAAGCAGGCACAAGTAGCAAGGTGCTAAACTCCTTTCACGTGAATGTGCAGCTTCCTGACTCCTGTCACCACGTACTTTCACTGTGGAAATCAAGACCTTTGATTTCCCCTCACAGTCACTTCTTGTTATTACAGAGAGAGGGGATGCAAATAAATGATGTAGTTACTTGAGGATATTATCTCTAGTTCAGTTTGAAAAGACTAGATGATAAAATTGTGCAAGTGCTGCTGACTCTTGGTTTTCAGCTTCCATTCTTAAATCATCACATATGATTCCTTAACTTTTTAATCATTTTCTTTGACAAAAAGTGCCGAACGTGCTCTGAATGCAAAAATATTACTCGTTCATAGCTAGCAACACTTTTAAACAGATGACATTCCAGAGCAGAAAAGACCTTTTCATACTGTCTCCTATCACATGGCCTTTTCTAGCAACTTCTCCCCTAAGCATTCCCATTTGATATTGTATTATACATAATGTAGAGCCCGCAAGAAACAACAACCACCTTCAGGCACTTTTCCAAATTCCACATCAGAAAAAGGCAAGAGACTATGTGTATGTAGGTATGTATATATGGGTAACAGCAGTATTGATTATCAGTGTGATAAGAATTTAATTTCTATCTTCGATATATCTGTAATGTATCTCATTTATATTAAAATTAAATCCACACCCACATTTTTCTTTTTATAAATACTTTGCAATGTGAAATAAACATTTTTCCTAGACAAATCCAAGGTGAAAATGTACTAGCATAAGTTCATATGACATACAGTGTTTTTCTTTAGTTTTACTAATGTTAGTAATTTAGGTAGTTTCTTCATAAATATTTACCACTAAAAAGAATTCTCCCATATATTTATTAGTATTCCAATATTTTTTTATTTCATAACTCCACTCCCACTTCAACAATGCATTTAGCTATCTACCTCACAGATGACACAACTGGGTCTGAAGTCTATCTGCTTGAAATACGTATACCTAACAATGTGTTATCAAAAATGTAGAAAACAACTATTTTTCAAAACATATTGTTAATAACAACAATTGAAAACATTAATTTTATGGTTATTTGCAGCTTGAAAGATTCTCTGTCTTCTCATAAGATCAGGCTTAATTTAAAGAGCTTTAGTAATTGATGATAAAACTAATCTTGAAAGATTACTCACTTATGCAGAAAGACGATTTCTACGTTGACATCATCCCTATCCTTGTGCAGGAAGTCCTTCAGGAAGTTGGACACGCTTTCAAGTGTTATGTGACCACAGACAACTATGTGCCTGTTACAGAAAAATCAGAGTTAATCTTGCAAAGAAGGTAATACAAGCAAGCAAGAAAGCAGAAACGGAAAAGGTCCTTCTTGACGTTTCTCTAGATTGTATTCCATGAAGTCAGAGAAGGAAAATATCACTTCCAAAAGGTATTTTGCAATTGCAAATATATATACACTCTCACCTGCAAAGCCATTTGGACATGTTGTATTACACATTTAACAATAAGTGGTATCAGTCATATATAAGTCTATACACCATGTTAACCAGTCCTTCTCAAAGGTATATTTCTTTATTTTACACATCTCTCTCCACATTTTTACCTCCTCTAATGAGATTTATTGGTCAATTTTTTGGTTTATGACAGCAAATCTCGATATTTTTCTACAGTTGAAGCAGATATTTATGCCAATGAAGGCACTGCAAAGATTGTCAATTATAGGTCATAAGCAGTAAAAAAGAAATATTTTTCCTACCATAACTCCTAGAAAGAAAGTACTTTACAATAAGAAGTCATTACTTATTTCACCATTGCAACAGATTGCTTAGAAAATCACAGTTTGCATAGATTGTGATGTCACAAAGGTTTCTACTGCTCCACATTTTTATTACTAGATGTAGCTGACCATGGAAGATGGAAGCACAACATATACCTACATACACATTCTTGAATTCTACATCTTAAATTCTGAAAGGCTGAAGGAAAGGCCTAGGAAATTGCACTCTTTCTGACTTAAGGGATCTTTGCTCCCTTATTATTGTAAAAACAAAGTCTAAAAATTTATGATTAGAATATCCCAAAATGTCTCACAATATCCTTCATGGAAAAAAATAAAATCCAGCTTCTATTACCTTCATGGCTTCAAGACAGATAATGATTTTTGTTAAGCCTATTGCTAATACTTCTAATAACCACATTGCTCACAGAAGTCAGGAAGAGGGAAAAGGTGCCATAGATACCATTTTTGAAGTAACAGAAAATCACCTTCATTACTGTCATATAGTCTATGCACAAACACACAATTCTGCACTTGTTTGACACTTGAACCACTAAATGTGAAGCAAAGTAATTCCAAAGATAAGAAGCAGACCACCAAAGTCTCAGCTACTTCATAATTATTCTGTGGAAAACTCGGTAACATAGAAACCTCGTTGTCAGGAAACAACAAATAATATGTAGCAGCAATGATTACCTATGTAATGGACTATAACAGGAGTCTTTCCTTGCTTCATAATTTGATCCTTGATGAAATGTGTGTGAAAAGTACACTGAACTCATTGGAAAAGGGATAACTATGCAGAACAAATCAATAGTAATAATATGCACCATGCAGTGAAAACTATCACTGTCAGGTACTGCCACTTTTGCAGTGTCTCTGACAGTGACTAGAAAAGCAAAACTCGATAAACTGTTATACCAGTCCAGCAGACCTTGTGATATTGTTTACTATCATCACTTTTCTGGCATATCACAGTGTTAAATATTTATATAGAAATATGACAACATTCCTTTTGAATGAGCTCTTAATGACAGCACCAGGACTCAAATGCAATTTTAGAAATAGCAATAGACTAAAACTTCAGTGGTTTCATTCTATTTAATAGGTAAGAAATCAATGTCTATAGGAGACTATGAATGTTTATTGTTAAACTAGCTAATAGTGTCTGCTTTGCTTTTTTTTTTCTTTTAACAGAAGTTTCAGGCACAGTAAGTGCACAAAGCACAAAGTCCTTGGACTGCAAACACTTAAAAACACAAAAAACCCCTGAGTTAAAGCCTTCCTGTTTTATGAGGTGGTAAACACAGTATAAGAAAACAAGATGTAAAATATAATCAGGTCATCCTTTCTTCTTGGTGCAAGAAGTCCTTAAGAGGTTTCTTCTGGGAGCTTTGCAAATTGGCAGAGTTTCCAGTAGGCTCTGCCCTGCCTCTCTTAGCCCTACCAGAAGCACTCTTTCTCTGTTTCCCTAATGGTCAGTTGCCTGAATTGCCAGAGATGGGCATTCATGTGTGTTATTGCACTAAGGGTATAAGTAGTATATCAATGGAAATGGAAAACCTCAGGAAACTTCAGATTCTGAAGAAATGTTCAAAACCTTAGTAGTTTACTAGATCTCAATTCTGAACAGACTGTGTTTGATACACTACATTACAGTAACCTACTGGGAAGCTCTTGCTGTCTAGTGGTACTCAACACTTTTCTGTAAGTGTAAACCCATCTAGCACCAAAAACCTCAATGGCCCAAGAAAATCATAAATAGCAGCTAAAAATATATTAATTTGTATTCCTTATACTGTCTGTACACATTTTCCAAGATGACAGATTTTTAACTATAGGTAGTTTTCTTCAGATATTTCCAGTTATTACTAATTAAGAAACTGAACTTTCCATTTGCATAGTTGAAGCATTGGTTTTGGTTGTAGAAATAATTTCCCATGGTAGGGAACTCCTTTGTACAGATCCTGTGCTGTTGGGCTTAGCAGAATCTCTTCCTGAGTGCTCTTCTGACACACTGCATTCCTGTGCAGAAAATTTATCTCCTTCTTGGTTGATTTCACTTAATATTCATTCTTTTCTGTCATTGATTAGAATGCACACTTTTAAAGTATGGCTGTGGAACCCAAAATATTGCATTGCAGAGGAAATCATCATAGTATCAAAAGACTACAAGATAATTCACATTATAAAATAACTCCAGAGGTTATTTACTACAAAAAACTCCTGCTAAAAGCAGATGCAATTGGTACAATCCTGTTCTGACTCTCACTGAGTAGGGATTCATAGCAATCTGCTACAGTGAAAATAAAACATTTGCCTGCCAAAAAGTCTTGCATTTGGACATCAAGGCTAATTCCTTTTGAAGTGTTGGAAGGCATCTGCACTATGGTTTCATTTTTCACTCTGATTTAGAACTGGGCATGATCTATTTTTCTCTTCTTTGCTGTTCCTATAATGTGCAGGGCAGTGTTCTGAATAGTGACTGCAACTAAACTTCCTGGCTTTCAAACAGTATTTTCTGATGAGATATTTGCATTAATTTTTGGTTGAAAACCCCCATCAATAAAATCTTTCTTTAACATAAATTATATTTTTTGCTTAGAAGTAGACGATATTGAAAACAGATTTCCTACTTGCCCACAGAGAGTTTTTAGGTACATTATTTAAGAAAACTTGGAGAGCTTATATTGTTCCAATCTGTCCTGTATATGATTTGAAGATTTATAACTTCCTCTGTGTGTTTCAATAACCATTCCCTTCCCTTTTTTTTTTACCACCCATTTTTTTCCATGCACTGAGACTTTAAGTAAAGCCAACATACTGGATAACTTTTTCGTTGTGAAAAAGAGTTGGTTAGTAGAAAAACATTGTATGAAAAATATTGGGTCAAACGAAATGTCTAACATCTGCATTAAGCTTTTTCTTATTAAAAGGCTCAAAAGTAATACTTTATTGTGCTTTCAATGTTTTTTTATTCTTTAAAAAAACAAAATTTAGACTTTTCTTTACCATACTGAAAAATCTGGTTTAGGAATTTAGACATTTTTATTACTGACATGTATTTAGGAGGACTAAGGTTTCTCTTAAGTAATAGTTGTCATTGGTATCATGTATTAGAGGTGAAAATGGTTTAATATACCACTGGGAGTCCATATTACCAGACTGTGATGCTGCAATAGAAATCTTTTACAAAGAATCAAAAGCTTATCAGGAATAATATTCTATCAGCAAAAATGGACTAATCCATTCTCTCCCATATATATTTATCATCCTCAAAATTAATTTGAGAAATATGAAAAAAAAAGAAAATATTTCGAATACAAAAAATTAACAGTTGTACACAATTTTGTACACAGTTGTACACAACTGTGATTCTAAACAGCTGAAATTCCCTACAGTACCTAATTTTTTTCCTACTCAAGTACTGACATAATGATACATTTGCTAAAAATACTCTAGCTTCTTATAAAGTAAACAAAAAATGGTGATATAGGATCCTAAGCTACCACAGATACAAACTATTTTAGTAAGAAAAAAATGAAATAAGCAAAAGCTAAAACATCTAGATTTCTGACATGAGATAATTGAGAGCATACACTTAATCCATGTAAATAGCAATGTAAATGAAAACAGATCCACTGTGAATGGGATTCTTTACAAATGATCTTTGCATGCTTCTTCCTTCAGAGGATACAATACAAAAGGCAAATCTTTTGCCTGTTTATTTTGAAAGAAATTATATCCATTTTATTGGAACAAGTATAAAGAACTTGAAAAAATTCACTCCAACTACTCTGTCACAATAAATCAAGTATAATAAATACAAAATTCTGTTCAGTTGAATACTTGGTGTTCACTTGTCAAGTAACTAGAAGAAGTGTGGTGCACTTTAGAAGATGTCTCTCTAAAATTATATTTATATCAAATACATATGTTCAGATGTCTTCCTGGTCTTTCTGCTTAGCATTCTGGTTGTTCCTTCATCTATTGACCATCTAAATTATTTGCATATATACCAGTAGCAGACTGCTGTGGCTGAAGTAAACAGGTTCTTGTACAGTCTAACAGGCTTTGCTCAAAAAAGGATAGGTCTCAGTCTCATCTTCTTATTAAAAAAAAAAATAAAATTAATAAATGTTAACAGAGACTGTGGATATGGTCTGGTTGTTTATCTATTAGTGGCATGCATTCTTAAACATAACAGTTTACAATGTTTCCAGCCACTTGTGCTTTTCCTGGTTTACCTAACATTACTCAAGATTCTGTTAATTCAGCTCAAAACTTTATGCATGTGCTATGTGTCTTTATCTTATTTCAATATAAACTCCTCCCTCAGATTAATACTGTTAGAGTCATAAGTGCTGTGTAGTCACAGTTTGAAGTTTTTCTCTTTTTTTCACAGAAGACTTGAACCCAAGGATGATGATCCTCTAAGGATCAATTATTTAGCCAGTATGTATAGTTAGCCAGAATAATATGTTATAAAATTACAACCTCTAAAGAAACTTGCCTATGTATTGCATATATAAAAAAAGCAAAGGCTGAGAATCACTCATTTAAAATGGTCACTTTTGAACTAGAAAAAGACACAGTAGATTAATTTTTGAAAAATAACTCCAGTGGACAGGAAATTACAATGTGTTACTACTGAAACTTTTTGTGTTAGTCATTTGTATCCATGAAGAGAGAGCACAAAATACTCTGAAAATAAGACATGGCAGTTGCAAAAAAAAAAATATTCAACTCTAAGCTTATTTCTCAATTTGATTCTCCCATTAGGTTCTATAAATTTTCTAGTTCAAAGAAGATTAAGGTAGAAAATATTAAAGGATATAGCACATTGACTGTCAAGTGTATAAAATTCCAGCAACTTTAACATTTCTTCTCCTACAACTGTTTGTTTCATTATTCTCTTTACTTCTGAAGGATTAAAAATTTCAAAAGTGTTGAAGTCACCAAGAAGCAGACAGCATTGACTTTCAAATATGTACCAACACTTAAAGTACATAAGCACCTGACCAGACAGTCACAGGAGATGTGACTGCAGTATGTGAGAACATGTCTGAGGTACCTTTAATATCTGTGAATTGGACCTGATAGCTTCAGCTGTCAACTATTTAGGAACCAGAGTGAACTCATGCAGCCTATACTGAAGTTGCTGTGAGTAATTCTAACAGAAACTATCTGTTCTTTCCAACAGGTTCCATGCCTTTGGGTTCTCTTAAATGGTGAGTAAAGAAAAAGGGATTAGTTAATACCAGGAAATGCTCAAACAGCTACACTGAGTATATGGTATATGGTATAGATCAGTGGAACAGCACTGGGTCATACATAAGATTATCACAAATGGGAAATTGTTAATGTCAGCCATTTGAAAGTTACTTCTGATGCAAATATTAAGTTATTTTGTGACCAATATAAGTATGTGAAATTAAGAATCAAGAAGGAATCCTTTCAAATACTCTTAAACATAAAACTGGTAATGAGTGACAAGCACACAATACCCTAATGAGTTCTGAATTATTACAGCTATGATACTATATAAAGTGTGCTTATACAAATCCAGATTTCAGTCTTGCTTAGTGAATACTGGTGGAGTGTCACTGGCAACCTTTAAATATCAGAAGCTGTTTGTGAAGCACATAGAAACAGTATAGAAGAATTCACTTACATGGGGCCTCAAATATTTTATGGCCACCTAAGTGAGATTTCTTCTAGAGAACAGGCTGACAGAGTGTATTTCAGATACTTTAATCCAGGATAAAAAGCACACTCCTTTGTTTAAACTGTACATTAGAGCTTGCATCTAAGTCTGTTTGTAATGGCATGCTATCATGTGATTCATGCTAGGCTGCTTTGCTTATTTAAACTCCTTTGCTCAGCTACAGATAAATGAGTTTATCTTACGTTTTCATGATATAAGGAATTGCACAATGTTTGTCTATAAAGTAAATTAAAAGTTAATATTCTTTGTTTGATGCATACCTCTGAATCTGCAATAATAAGATGAAAGCACAGTGATTTGTTTCTTCCAGGGTCTGGATTAGTTAAGAGGCTTCCACAGTAGCTTAAAGTAAAGGATGAGTATTCATCCTTTCATTCAGGCTTCATGGCAATATTATTTAGAGTATTTCTGCTTTCATGAAAAATACCACAGTATTTAGGCATAACAGAGCTCAGAAAGAAATAAGTGAATAGTTCAGTATAAACAGAAGTAAAACCTCTTAAATAGCATGCACAAGGAGCCCATACTGGAAAGCTTACAGTAAAATACAGGAGTAATCTACACCTCCAGCACTAGCATCTCAGTTACAAATGGGCCTTAATCTACTGTTCTAATCCCTTCAAACTCTGGACTTCATTCTTGTAATATTTTGTGTGGTAGATATCACACACACAAAACACCCTGTTATTTTGAAAACAAATCACAGTATTTTCTGTTAAATACATTGCTTTCTCCCACCATTACTCATTTTCAAACCACCTTACGTGTTTTTACGCGCTCAAAGACTCAAAAAATAATTAAATCCTTTGTAAGCAAAGTGGGAGTTAGGAATGGCTTTTAAGATTTTTGAGCATTTCATCCATGACCAGAGCCAATGCATTTCTATCCACAGAAATCAACTCAAAATGTCATGACTCATTTTCTGCAACAGAACCTGAGTGAAAGCAAACAACCTCTAAAACTTGCTGATCAATTAATGACTTCTGCCATCTCACATTACACTCATTGGAAGGTACACACTTAGTCACGGACTGTGTAGTTTGTAGAATATGGAAGATCAGCAGATTTATAAACCAGATTCAGTCTTTCTTGGGTCAAAATCTGGACAGCAACAATTGCTGTTTGATGCCAAATCCAAAAGGTTTTTTTTAAGGTTTAGGAAGAGACAAAGAATTTTTACAACTTTAACTAGAAATATAAAATAAGTGCTGTTATTGTGAGCTCATGTCATAAAAATGTTATGTGTCACTTCCCACATTTCCTTTCTTACTTTCACAAGAATGGATATAGTTTAATAAGCACATGAAATTTAAAAAAAAAAAAGTTTGTCCTATTTCTTCTATCTGTCAGTCTATTTAACGCTCATCAGATTTTCTTTATCACTAAGTGAAACTTCATTTGAAACAGTGGGATTAGAAGAATGGCTAGCAGATGGGAAATAGAGACATCCCTGGGGATCATAATGTAATCCATGTCACATTCTCTTATTACATTCTCATACCACTGAAAAAATAATATCTTACATATTGTATCGAATTATTTAATATAATAATCTAATGTCACTTTCTTTGGAGCTATGCCTCTCATTACTGCAGCAAATGGATCTTTGCTTTGGATAAGCCTTAAATTTTTTTTTCTAATTTTTAATGAAATTCAAATGTCTAATGAGCCCAAGATGGCCTGTCAACTTAAATTATCTGTTTTTCTTTCTGTTTACCATATCTATCTGTCTACAGTTTTTATTTTTCTCTGTGAAGTTTAGTTATTGGATCCCATGTTTCCTTCTGGAAGGAATTTCTAACAGATGATTATTCCCGCTGATATGTTGATGATTTGCTAATTTATGGCTTGTAAATTTAAGAAATCTGAAGAAATCTCTGGGAAGCAGAGCAGATCATGCGAGAAGAGAAATGAGGTTTTAATAGCTTATACAGTAAAGTACTGTGATTTCATTAAAATACAGTTTTTAATCCTACATACTAACTACAATAATGCATCTTTTTTTTTTTAAGTTTTTTGAATATGTAACAAAGTCTAGCATAAACATTTACTATTGTGCCAAGGCAAGAAGTTTATATATATGTGGACAGAATCACAGAATGGTTAAGGGGCCACAGTGGGTCATGTGGTCCAACCTCCCCACTCAAGCAGGTCATCCCTCTCTCTGCCAATATGGAAAGTTCTACTTTCTGCATTCCTAAAGGTTAAGAGGAAATATCATTGTAAAGAATTTTATATGCAATACCTACTTTGTAAAAATATTTCCCAAAATGTAAAATCATGTACTACACAATTCATCCAGGGAAAAAAAAAGGAAGGAGAAACAGTAGTGACTGAATTGCTCATCAGAGAGAACAGAAAAGCTACGTAGGATTCAATGTGGAAAATACTGAAAGACACATCACCGGTATCCTAAGACACCTCCTTAGCTGTATTACAAAATAATATTTTGCAATATTTCTTTCTTATTCACGTCTGATTGCTTTTTATGTCTGAATTTTGTTTACCAGTTATGACTTAGTTTTTTACATACATATATTTATCATCAATTATTTTCTGTCTTGTAACTACAGCCTGTTTTTTTCTGTGTCATTTGTAATTAGCGATGACTACAGCAAGAAGCAATTGTTTGTCTGCTCTGTGTATAACTAAACTGAGAAGGCCAGTTTTGTTTGTCGACTGATCATCTGATTCCGGTGTATCAAAACACACAGTAAAAACAATACAGTGGCTTCTGATGAGCTGAAGAAGAAAAATGGTAAAAAAGCAGTTGTTTAGAAATAATATCATTACCTACAGAGCAACTCTCATTGCTTATATATTTGTAATTCAAGACAAGGATTGTTACCTTTTTTTTGGTAATTTTTTTTGTTCTAGATTGTAATTGTGCCAAATTCATTACCCTACTTGTCCTTAAAGCTGTGTTTTTAGTCTCAGTCACATTTTGTATAGACATATTGGTATAAAATTTTGGTATATATGCAACAGTGAGTACTGCCGTTTATTTAACAGGTGGAACTTCAATCAAAGACTATAAAAAAATTCCTGTTATGTATTTTATGAGACTCTAGAAATCTCACTTCAGTAATACTACAAAGCAGAAATTATAATTTAAATTTAAAATTTAAAAAATTCCCTGTGGACTTTCACAACAAAACTAACCTAGTATCTAGTAGATTTAACCAGTGATAACTGCATACTGCCCACAAACTACTTCTGTTTCCAAAGTCTGTATGTATGTGTCTCATCCAAGAGAGAAGTAAGATTCTTTATTGTGCCAAATGCATCCTATATTGTTTATGAGGCCTTTGGGGACTTTATGGGCTGAAAAGCAAAATGAAATGTGAGATCAAACTTATTGGTGCGTTGGTTATTTCTCTTCTAAGTGGAGTTTGTATCAAGAATTCTTATGCACTCATTCTAGCTGCTTTGACAGTTACAATTCCATAGAAAGGCTCTCCTTAGCATTAAAGTCACGCAGTGCAATCCTCAAAACACACGTAATCATCTGTTGATTTTAACATATGACCTAATGTTTAATAACCATAGAGAAACATGTTATTCCACACACACGGAGTTCACAAGGCAGCATGTATAAACAAATATATAAATGCTACAAAGCAGATTCCATGTATTTTTCTATTTTGTAGAAAGTTTAAAAATATACACATTTGTTATTTTAAGGGCTGAAACTATATCTTTCACCAAAATTCAGCTGTTTTCATATTGTACATGTATTTAATTTTATCTGGAAACTTTCTGACAATAGAAATAGAAAACCTGTAGTTTCTCATTATGTTTACTGCCAGAATCTATGCTTGGTTGCTCAACTAAAGACCTTATATTGCTAATTACTACCACATGCCTGTATCCCATGCAAAGGAAAACTTATTGGTTCTGACAATCCATTCTCTCAACACTGAATTCCAAAAGAAAACTTAAATTTTGGCCAAACATAACATTTCATCAATCTTGTTCTACTGACTGCAAAAGCAACATCAGACAAGGGGTGCTAATGGCTTTTTACTGTGCAGTTCCCAAGCTTAGATTCTCTGATGAAAGACCCACACGAGCAAAGGACATCTTTAAACTACTTTGTAATTAATATTTGAGCTGGAAAACAATGCATAAAGTAAATTGAACAGTTTGTATGCTGGTGACAGAGCTGAGTTTCAAACAACAAATTATATGAGCAGTACAGATCGGCAGAGAAAGCACTGACAACAGAGTGAGATAAAAACAAACAGATAGTGCAAATAAAGAAAGACAAAAACAAAAGGTGAAAAAATAAAATTAAGCAAGCCCCAAAGCTAGCAGAAGCCTGTAATCTGTTGCTGAGTTTTTCAGGATGTGGGGTTCTGACTGAAGATCAGGTAAAAATTTAGAGACATCTGAGCAATGCTGGGTACTAGTGACAATGTAGAAGGGGAGAGACTAAAACTCTATGTAAAATAGTTTTTAACCATATACCCCTCTGCTATAACTCCTTTGGAGCTTCAAAAACTGAGGTATATGTTCTCTATTTGAAAAACCTACTCTTTGAGAAACCAAGCATTACAAATATGAAACTGGGTCTGTGAAACTGTGCCACAAAAAACCATTTTTGGAAATTCATGATACTATTCTTTCTCAGAAATAAATCAAGGCATTTTATTAGTCTAGGTAAGTGATGGAAGTTTCCAACACTGGTGTTTACAGTTTACCCTAGACATTTGAGGGTATCTCAAAAAATGCAAGTATTGAAGTCTACTGTCTAATTGCTTGAATATTATTGAACAGACAGTAGCATTCTAATTCTAAAACTTTATCTACCCAGTGATGTAAAACAGCACTCTAGAGTTATCTCTGTGGGCCATTTACAGTCTCTGCTACACAGAGAGGAGAAACAACTTGATTAAACCATAATCCACTTTAATAAAATGTTTCAGGGTGATGATTTGAAAGAAACAAAGTAAAAAATTTTCTTAAAGTAAGGAGAGGGAAAAGTCATTAGACACATTTCTTGCAGTACCTTCTTTATTTTACATGAAAAGGGCCCTCTGTATGACTAGTCTTTCAGGGCAAATGTATCTCTACCACTGAATGTCACAATGATATGCAATGAAATGAAAGATGGCAACATTAAAGGTGATACTGTGCTAGTTCACACTATATCACCAAGTACATCTAGGTCAGTAATGGCTATATCCCAGCAGGTCTAGATGCTGGGAATGCCAGAAAAAGCTGGTTTTAACTTGGTCATGAAAACAAAGAGGTTTTCAATAGAAACATAATGAGCTAATGTGGTCCAATAAAATTTAACCTTTGCCACCAGGTCAAAACAGTGGCTTTTAAGGGTTTGTTTTTTTACCAAACTATGTTTATATTAAGGCTACTGTCTGCTCTTCTTAGGGTAAGTTTTTTACAGTGTGTGGAGGAGAACTGCTTTAAAATCCCTGGTCATAGATCCTAAAATCATGAGTGTTTGCAATATCCATAGGAAGTGAAAAGAAGATCCATGAGAATCTGCTGATGGAACATTGAGAAACAGGGCTATTAGACTTCTTACATAGTCAGTTCAACAGAATAAATCGGTCAACTTAAATCTCCTATTTTACACTCCAGTAAAACCAATTCTTCTAAAGAACTGAAAATCATGTGAATTATCATTGCATTTAGTTACGAGATAAACCACATGATAATCTGATGCCCGAAACAGTTAAGTGACAACTCAACCTTATTCCAGAAGCTAACTGCATATGTAATAGCAGCACTTTTTACAAGATATGTTAGTGCAGTCTTAGTGGTATCCAGGTTCTCTGGAAGTAGGGACAAAATGTTGTGACTTGTACCATAGCATAGCCCAGGTCTCTAATTATAGTGTGACAACTCTCCAGTGGTAACATCTGATGTCAAAGAATACAGCCTTATAAGCTGTGAATCAGCTATTACCACCTTCAGGGGCTCTTTAAAGTCACACAACCACACCTGGTCTTTTTTGACTTACTTTCTGCCTCGAGTTGAGTTAAAAGTTCCGCCGTATTTCTTCCGATTAAGGATGAGAGCAGCAATTTCTGGCACGTAGCGAGCAAACATTGCCTACATGCATGAAACAAAAACACAAAAAAAAAAGAAAATGGCATGCAGAGAGTGTTCTACTGCAGCAGAGGCAGCAGAGCCTCTTGGGATACTTACTTTCTTCCACTAACCGCACTATAGGAACCACCATATTTCTTGCGGTTTCCTATTAACTCTATGATTTCAGGGACGTAGCTGGCAAACATGGCCTAAGAAGAAGATAGGAGACAGAAGAAAAGACTAAAAAGAGAGGCCAAAGAAAGGGGGATGATGAATATTTTCAGAAGATATATATTTTTAAGATCTAAAAATGCAAAAGAATTAGATCTATGCAGTTGTTTAAAAAGAAAATTTAAAAAAATTAATTAAAAAGTTCTTATCAAACAAAACAAGAGGGCTCAATGTAAAAGTGGGTCTTGGAGAAGGTGCACGCCTTATAAATAAAGAAAATGGTCAAAAGAGGAAAAATAGACACACAAAACAAAACAAGAACAAAATTAATTCAAACTGGTATCTAATCACAAAAAGCAGTTATGTCTATTTCTTCCTGAAGAAGGGAGGGGGAAAAAGCTATCCAAGCCCCACTGCAAAAAAAAATCCAAACCCAAGTATTATCATTACTGTTACATTTCTGTTTTAAAATACAGACTTTTCCCCCCAGTATTAGAATTTAAAAGAAGACAAAACCAAGATGGAATCAGGGGTTATTTCCCCATCAAGAAACAAAAAAATCACTCCCCCGCCCCCCCAAAAAAAAAACTTTTCCAAAAGTTGTTGGGTTTAGAAGGATTGGAATAACATGTGATAGAAAAAAGGTTTTGAGGAGAAAATAAAAAAAATTCTGCCATGTTTTGTCCAACAAACATCTTCCTTGTGGCTGGATACTTCGAAGAGCTACTGCCATTTGACATGATCTTTGTCTTTGTATGTCAATGATCAGAGATGGGAATGTATATATTTAATGCTCATATATATATATATGTATCTGTGTGTCTCGTATATGGCATTCATAACAGTAGTTATATACATATCACCTCTGTAAGATGTATGTATATGTGAAATCAATATGAGAGGGTAACAATACACATATGTATGTATGTGCACAATCTATATTAGTCATCCATAAAGCACTTACCTTGAAATATGTAAATATTAAAATAAACTTTGCTGTTTTAGAGAACAATATTGCTACAGTTCCTATAATATTACTAATGCTGACACATAGTAGAAAAGTTGACATAAGACAATTAGTAACTTGGATGCTATTTACATACAGGACAAAGAACACAAGAATCCTATAAAAGGATTCTGATTATTGTCATGTGATAAATTGTGAGTCAAAACTGCACTACATGACATGAAAAGATGTTTGAAATTAAAGAGAATGTGGTTTGCCATCATCTAGATCAGGCAAGCTGCTCTTTAAGGCAGTCCAAAGCCACAGTGTTTGTTGGAATTCTGGGAAGGAACACAGAAGGGTGGGTAGGACATCTGAAACCGCAAAGTGCCTTTAAATATCAATATCAGCCTCCAAAAAAATGCACTACAGTCAGCCACTAAAACACAGAGGACTATAAATAACGTTATAAGTTGAAATATTAAGGCACTTCATGTATTCACATGCATTACTCATTTAAAGGAATTAGAAAAATTCTGACTAAACTGGACTAATTTGACAAGTTTTGCCAAAATATTTATCTCCATGAAAAAGGGGCATATTAAACATATTTGAATGTTTTATAATTAATTTTAGTTTTACTTAATTACAACATTGAGGTATACCAGATCAAGTACTAAGGTAGCTGGAATGATAGGAAGAATTAAAAAAGAAGAGTTTTTACCAATCCCCCAAGAATGAAGAAGACCATGAAAAGGCGACCAAGGGTTGTTTTTGCATAAACATCTCCATAGCCAACAGTGGACATTGTAACCATCAGTAAATAAACACATTCCCAATATGTTAGCGGTTGATTATTTTGGAAGTTTTCCCATGGATCCCCTGAGTTCTCCACCTAAATGTAAAAGAAAACATATAATGAATTAATAGAATTGTATGCCAAATTAAATCTAACCATATATGCATGTGTGTGTATATATACATGTAATATGGCATATAATATAAACTCTGAATCCCTTTCTGTGATTTATTTTGAACAAATACAGAACCTGACCCTGTCCCAAATATAGCACTACAATTCTTTTGCCAATATACATAGCCTTTCCACTCATACTATTTATGGAAAGCATCTTTTCCAGTCACCACTAAATAACCTACTAATGTGGTTAGGTGAGTTCATTTTAAAAACATTTCTTTAGAACATTTCCAGAGTGAAACTTATGTGTAATGCAATTATACTCCTTAATGTTTTTGTTTTAAAGGACTATGTAGCTATTAGGCATTATTGACATGTTTAGTGATATGCTACTACCTTTTCAAAAAGCCAGCTGCTGTTGCAACAAAATTATAAATTTATCAGTGGGAAAAGAGCATGCCCTTTAAAATTTGTTCCACAGTAAAAAGTTGAAGTTTGAGTATTCCTACAGGAGAATAAAGAAAATTATGCTGAAAAGCAAAGGGGGAAAAAAAAATCCAAATCCTAGAAAATAGCATTCCCTCAGTCTTGATGTAACTTTTAAAGGGTGGGGGAGGTTTTGTGGTTTTGTGTTCAAAAATAGAAAAAGCAATTGTTTCTGTGTATTTGCTCAGAGGAGTGTAAAAATATGGTCCTATGTGAATGAGAAATATATCAGAAATGAAAACATCCAAAATCTTGGTGCATCTTTATAAGAGTGAAAATTAAATGACAGATATATCAAGAAAATAAATATTTTGAATTTAATCTTACACAGCTGGATGCAGCTCAAGTTAATTCAAGTGAAGTCATTGAAATTGCTCCAGACTGACATCAATATCATTAAATTTTATTACTAGTCCAAAACGTTCCTGAATAACTTATTACTACTAGTAGCTCAAAATTTTCCTGATTCTAGGTTGATCATAAAATGTACTTCAAGGACAACCACTTAATCATATTCTATTATATTTACCAAACAAATCAGTAAAATCTATTAGTTTAAAACACTCACTTGACATATACCTATCGTTCATATGCATATTCACATTTATGACCTCATGTAGTTCTATACTATCTTACATTTTTCAGGTATTGTTAAGTGCTGAACAGAAACCTACTACAAAAAAACTGTGTTGCCAGTGACTGAAAGCTACACCTAAACAATTTGAAATTTAAAAACAAAAGACAAGGAAATAATCTCTAAGCGAATCGCTATCCAGAATGTTAGCAATCCCATTACTCCTCGTGGAAATACAGAACTGTGCGCCTCTGACACAACCATGGATTTCCCAGGACCTCCCTCTCGCTCCAACTCTGCCAATCGCCCCCAGGAAGCACTCGCCGGAGTTCTTTGGGAAGCACTGCCACCTCCTGGTAAATCCTCATCGTTTCACAAGTTGCACCACTCCAAGTCTGCTTTATTGCTGAGGTTAATGATGTCTGTCTTACTACTCTGAATTAGTTTTGAGTAGAAGCTTAAAATCTGGGAAGCTGTGATGCCTTTTTCTTGTCCTCTGTTGATGTGTTAAGGGATTATACAGAGCAAGGCAATTGCAGGAAATAAAGTAGCTCAGAGAGCAGAAGATCCATGATAAAAAGTCAATGAAGTACTTTCAAATATACTTACCAAATGTATGAACCCAGCTGCTGTCAGCCACGTGCTGATAAATATAGAGCACAGATTCACTAGCTTGATGGAATTACTGAAAACAAACAAAACAAATAGGAACTTAGACTAGAATTTGTCACATTTTCTGCACATACCTGTATAAAACTGCATATTTCAGATTAAAGAATCTGACTATTATTTCCAAAGAGAAACAGACTCCCTAAAAAAACTTAATCAAAAGCTCATGCAAAATATATATTATTTTGTCTTTGCAGAGTTCACATTTTCATCATTTAGATAGCTTGAAAGGAAAGTTCCCATGTATGAGAGCAGTGGGTATGGCTACCTCTGTACTCATAAACAAACTAATAGAAATAATGCTTTTCCACAGATAATTTGGTTGCCTCTCAGTACACTCACCTCCTTATTTTTTATTGCTGTACACCTCCAAGTTATTCATGTATAAATACATAAAAACACATGAGAAAATTATGATTCCCAAATTAAATATCTAAGGCATTTTACAGTTCTCGTGTGAAGTCCTAAGTAATTTTCATATTATTCTGCTGGTATGAACTCCTACAGACTACTTTATGGACATTCACACTAAATTGGAGTATTTCATGTTTATATTCACATTTTTTCTTTTAAAAAATGAGAAAAAGTAAAATTTAAACAATGAAAAAAGTGATATTTAAACCTACCAATCAAACTCTGCAAATATTTTTTAGTCCCATTGAGTAGTATGTTCCCTATCGTAGCCAAAAGTGATTTTGAAGCAAGGACCTCATTCAGTTCAGGAGGAAAACACCATACTTAAAATCTTCTGGAAGAAACATAAGTAAAACTTGCTCCCTCTCTTCTCACAAAAATCACTATCCTAAGAAGGATATTCAACACATCCACAAGGAACTGCAGTCCGTGTATGACTGTGTTTAAACAATTTTACCCATTCATGGAATCGTACTGGAAATAGTTCTCTGTTTTGAAAACATTTATGAGAAGGTATAATACCTCAGAAAAAAACCTCAATTATTCCTAAAGCAATAAATTCAAAAAAGATAAAAATTGGAAAACAATCACTATCAGTGTTAGCAGTAGTAGTTTTGCAGTACAATTAACTAATATTTCTATTTATAACTATTTTAGGGAGAATCAAAATGCATTATTTTACTTTAAAATATTGAGAAAAGAACTTGAAAAATTAATCAGACCAACTTCATTAAAAATAATTTTAAGAGTTACAGTTAGTGAAGTGGGCATCTTGAGGCACAAGGAAAAGAATATAACTGGTTAATATGAAAGATGTGGTAATACATATTATACTCAAAAATAAAATAACATACTGGCTATCCTGCCATTAATCAGTGCTACCTACCTCAACACATATTACCTCTTTCTCTCTTTCTTAAGGTATGGTTTAAGTTCCTATTTTGTTGGTGTTAACATTCAGTTATAGCACAAGACCCAAACCAATAGGTTTGTATATTAAACAAAATCATAGAAGTCATGCTAATGCAAAGCTCCATCATGAAAGGCCAATGACCATCCTTCACCTGAACTTAGAACAGGAGATGTTCCTAATAGAATAATGTGTCAGTCCACATATTACTGCAATACAAGTAAATGACAGCACCTACTAATAACTACATTACTTGTTTGGTACACTTATTTCTGCAGATTTATCAAACACTGTACCTTGTCTCTCCTCTATGAAATACTCCCTGTGCTTCCGCCAGAGTCTAAATATAGATGGAGGATTAGTCACAAACATTTTCCCTCTCTTTAAGCTCTTTCCAACATCTGTGCAAAATCCCTTACTGTGAGCCCTGCCTAAGCCTCTGTAGTTTTGTTGAAAAATAATATTAGAAAACAATGAAGGAGAGAAATTTTCAACTGAAAACTGCACAAATCAACTTCATCAAACATGAGAACAAAAAATATTGAGTAAAAGACATTTCATTTCAAATTAGGGAAACAAACAAGTCCTTGACAGAGTATGGTGTTCTAATACGACATTGTAAAATTTTGTTTTGTCTTACGGGATTTTTTCAAACACATTTAGCAATTTTTCAGATAGTCTAATCATTATCTAACACTTTGCTAGTCTCCTTACTGCCTCAATTTCTGCATTGTTTAGTTTCTTCCTTTGGATTCCAGTTTTTGGAATGACCCTTCTCCTCACTGCATAAATAATACATATTCCTTTAATCAGCATATCTCAGTCACTAATTCTAGCAGTAATTTTAATTTATAGGTTAGAATAAAGCTTTCTCTTTACTGGGGAAAAGAGGAAAAGGAGGAGAGAATTTCTCCTCCAATTGCACTAAATATTAAAAACACAGCAGTGCCCATTACATCCTATCAGTTTCTCATCTTGTTAGTTGTTACATGTTATTAATGCCAAACACATTAAAATGCCTCTAGTTGAACTGGTTCCATATTTTTTCATATAAATAAATATCACCTCAAACAGAGAACTACTATGCTTTGTAGAATTTAAAAAGTACTGGATTTTTTTTCCCCTATGCTATAACTTCAGAGCTACTAATGATATACTGAATTTGCTATTCCATTTCAACAATTCAAATTCTGTCATTAATCCTTAGTCTTTATGTTCACAAACAAATTACAATATTGGAAATGTCATTAAAACCTTAAAAGTGGATTGCAAAAAATGCTATAATGTTTTAATTCTAGAAGCTTTTTAACCATCCCTGAGAAAAATAATGTTGCAGTAGCTGGACAAAAGCATACAATACAGTATAAGATTTTAAATTAATAATAATGGTTTAAGGCCATGGTATGTAAATGAAACCATTGCTTGAATTTAGGGAAGTAAATTTTATTTAAATAAAATTAGATTTGTTGAGGCTACTAGTTTAACTGCCCTAACTCTTGCAAAATTACTAAAGATTCTCCATTAACCACAAGGGCTCAGCATGCCTTTTTTCAGGTGCAAATAAAAAGTTTCCTAAAATAAATAACATTCTGTTCATTTGTTTTAATTTGTCATAGCAATTTTACAAAAATATGTTTTGTGAACATGAATAGCATTCCAAATTATTTAGGTAATTTCAGGTTATTAAGTAAAATACAGGAGAGAACAGACATGACTTTCTGTTGCAGAACCAAGAAAAACAACTGTTTTGAGGAAATTTTTAAGTTAAATAAATGGTGCTAATGATGAACTGCTAAGGATTAATTAGCTAACTGAACTAAAACACTCATACAAGAAAACTTTCCTTTACAGTCTTTCAATAATCAACTTTTGAGTTTTACAGATATTTGGATGGTGACATAAATAATTACAGAGAATATGATATCTATGTCTAATAGCAGAGTAAATTTTGCACCAGAAAAATGCTATTTCAACGAACAGGTCAGTCTTGAATAAACCAGCTCTGAATACACTGAATGTGATTAATGCAGTACCCCTTCATTTCACAAATCCCCAACTGCTGAAGGGGCTATTAGCTTTTATCCAAAATCCTTCGAGTTTATGGGGCTTCTCCATGGATTGACATTTCTCATGGCAAGGTTTCTTTGTGTGTTAAATGTAAACTCATCGGATATTCTGAGCTCCTCCACAAATTGTTCTCCTTTACCATCCCAGTGGTATTCTAAGCTATGGGACTTCACTGCACATTCTTTGGTGTCTTTATTTGACAAGAAGTGGATTCCTTACAGTAACACAGCTAAAGACAGATAATGTGAGAGTTTTGCAGCAAAGGAAATAGTTTCAAGGTTAAGGGTTGAAGAAACAGCTGTTTACCATGACTGTGTACAAATCTCAGGACCTACTTAACCACTACTATTAATTATCACAGCAAGAAATGGAGTTACCTGCATATAAAACCCTCACACATCAATATCAACTGCTGCAGAGAGCAGAGGATTTCAGAATGGAGTTGAGTTTAGAGTAATTATTGGAAGCTGGGTTCAATACTTCCCCCAGGGCATTTTAGAAAATGATGAAAAGCAACATGTCTTCAACTGCAAGGCATGGGAAGGTTTCTTTTTATTTCCTTCAAAGTGATCTTTTGTCCAAAACTGTGATTCTTCTGTACAACTTACACGTACTAATAGCCCAAAGAACCAGTAAATCAGAAGGTTAATTGGACTACTTTAATTATTATATGAAAGAAATACTAAGGACAATGAATACAATCTAAAGAAAGCTCAGTGTAATTTCTAATATGTTTTTGATGTGAAAAAGGATGCTCAGTTAAAAAAAACTGAAATAGAGCCACAATGATAATTTGTCAAGATACTTTTTAACTGTATTCTGTGGAACGAATTTTGATTTCTGTTTTTCCAGGAGAGCAGAACATGGACTGATTATATGGAAAGAATCAATGTTTAATCAGTGCAAAGCTATGTAATTCATTCTGGTTTTAATTTATCAACACACAACCTTGTTAGATATTTCAAATGTAACAACACATCAAAACCTACTGATCACATAGCAGAAGATGCTCACTGATAAATCATTCATTGGTAGAAAAAGGTTTAAAGAACAGATAGTAATTGGAGGGGTTTTTTCCAGGAAAGAAAATCATATATTACTAGGATCTCAAATTTAAGCTATTTATGCTCTGTTACCAATGCAATTAACTCAGTACATAAGAAAAAGTCTTACCTTGTTTTAAGTATATTCAGAAACTGCAAAATTTCTGAAAACTGTATCAGTCTAAGGGCTCTTAAAAATCTTAAACCTGCAGTAAAGGGAAAAAAAAGGCTATAGTAAAGAATAATTCAAATTATAACAACATATAACAACAATACTGATCAATTAAATCAACACTGGTAGCATACAAAATGTCAAATACCTTTGAAATGCTCCTCCATATTTAATTGTTCCAAGATCCTTAACAGGTCTTTTTCAAATTGTTTTAAATTTATTTTCCTAATAACTGATGTATCCTACCAGAAAACAATTATTTATGTAGGAAGTCATGGGTGGAGACACACAGGCTGAAAGCTAAAGGGAAAAAACCTCACTGAGGTTGTTGGTAATTCTAGTGCACATGTCCTTCTCTTCCAGGCTGACAAAGACACATGTGGGTGTGGAACGCCTCAGTCCTCCAAGCTCCCACGTTGCTTAGTGAAAAATAAGAGATTATGGGCAATAGATCTGATAACCTGGATAAAGTAGACTGTATATGCCTGATTAAATTCGTAAATCTTAATGACGCAAAATCTTTTATAGTAATAATGCTCCTTATCTCCACCCTAATTTCAAAAAACTCAAGCAGAACAGAAAAATGACACATTTTCTCTTAAAAATGGCAAATTAACTGTATTTCTTTCCATCAGCCTATAACTGTAGGAGTACATTACACTTCAACTATTAAAGAAACAACTATTTTTACAAAGAAGCAACTATTTTTAAAAAGAAATTGCATTTTTATGTAGAAATCAGGTTGCGTGCATAGCAATTCCCAGACAACCACAAAGTTGGCAAGACAGACACAAACAGAGTTTGTGCAGGAGAAAATACTATAGGAGATTAAGGGATTAAATTATTAAAATAGTCTTATGCTGATAGTAAATTATTTGGCTGCAGATCTTTGGCATATGAATAAAAGTACATTGTGTATTATACATATGCACAGCTTATAAAATAAAAATAAAGCTTGGAGGATAATTTTTATTAGAGAGTACAGCCAGGAGTTACATAAAAGTTGTGTAACATGGTATTGCAACTGTTACAGTGAGGTCCAGGGCAGCTTCTTCTCATACATTCTCATTATCGACATTTATTTTACCCACTTCCAGTGCTAAAAACCATTTTTTGTTTCTAGAAACCTAGGAAAGACATCCTAGCAAACTTAAAACCTGGTCACAACTTTTATCATCTCACTGGAATAAGAGGTTCCCCTCAAGAGCAAAGATGCATGTGGAAAGATGTGTTTAAATCATGACATTATTTCCACAGTATTCTTGGAAAGTTGCTAAATAAAATTTTTACTCTTGCTAAGGCTTATAAGTAGCCCTGCTAAGTGGCCTTGTTAAGACTCATAAGCAGTCTTAAAGCACACTCCTGTCTATTACATGGATATAAAGTTTCTTTTTAATTACTGACTGCAGGGAACTCTGAAAATTAATCACAACTTAGTAAATGGATTTAGGGATCTAGATGAAAAGTAATAAAATGAAGCTTAATAATTATAAATGTCAGATCTATTTGCAATTAGAAGACGATAATTTTAGATCATATTGCTGAAACTGCAAGACATGTCCCTCTGACCCACTTCCAGCAGTTCCCACAGTTGCTACTCCTATCCAAAGAGAAGCAGTTGGACAAGGAAGGAGAGGATCTTTCTCAGCTCTGTTCCATCCAGCTACCTTCCTCACTCTTCCACATCCTTTTTTGAAAAATGGCTAGAGAAAGAAAAACCTTTCCTCAGCACTGTGTCTGAAATTAATGAGATGACCAAGTTACCCATTGCCACATTTCAAAAAGAAATCTGAGAAACATCAAAGTTAGCAATAACACCTCTATCTCCAAACCAATATAATGGTTAAGATACATCTAAGTTGCTAAGACATCAAATAATAGAACAAAAATACTACAGCTTCAATGTATTTTCTGTGAAAGAAGAAAATCATTAAGAATGAAGTTCTGCATTTGCTACAGCCCACACCACTTTAAAAAATTCCCTTCAGAGAATATAACTTAACAAAAAAAAAAAAGTGGAGAGTTTGCTTGAACAGTTTAGCTACAAAATAGAACTGGCTTCCAATTGTAAAAGCAAAAGGAATTATTACATGGAAGGGATCAAATAATAATTTTCAGAAACTTCAGTGCATTAACTGCTTTGTGTGGTTCAAATACAAAAAAAAAAATTAAATGAAAATGACAGTTTTCCCTATCATGATGGCAAATTAATTCTTTCCAGCATTCTACAGTTTTCAAGACACAAACAGATCTGCTATTAAATTCCTATATGCATGTCATTTTATGTGATTTCCATAGAATTATACAATAGTTCAGGTTGGGAGGAATCTTTAAAGGTCATCTTGCCCAACCCTCACTGCAATTAGCAGGGACATCTTCAGCTAGACTGGGTTGTTTAATCTGACCTTGAACTCTCTTAGCTTTTCCTCATAGCAAAGGTGTTGCCTCCCTCTGATCACTTTTGTAGCCCTCCTTGGGACCCACTCCAACAGGCCCATGTCCGTTTTCTGCTGAGGACCCCAGAGCTGGATGCAGTACTCCAGGTGGGATCTCACAAGAATGGATTAGAGGGTAAAATCTCCTCCTATGCTGTTTTTGACACAGCCCAGGATATGACTGGCCTTCTGAGCTGTGAGTGTACAATGCTGGCACATGTCCAGCTTTTTATCCATCAGCATCCCTAAGTCTTTCTCTGCAGGGATGCTCTCAAACCCTTCCTCTCCAGGCCTGTATTGACACCAGGAGTTGTCCCAGCCCTGGTGCAGGACCCTGCACTTGGCCTTGCTGAGCATCAGACAGTTCCCATGGGTCCATTTCTCAAGCTTGTCCAGGTCCCTCTGGATGGCATCCCAAACTTTAGGCATGTCAACTGCACCACTCAGCTTGCTGTTCTCTGCACACTTGTCGAGGGTGCACTCAATCCCTTTATCCACGTCATTAATGAAGATATTTAACAGTGCTGGTCTCAATATGGACCCTATGAGGGACACCATTTATCACCTATCTACACCTGTACTTTGAGCTACTGACCACTACTCTCTGGATGCAATCCAAACAATTCTTCATCCTCCAAACAGTCCACGCACCAAATCCTTCTCTCTCCAGAAGGAGAAGGATATTGGGGGTGACTGTGTCAAAGGTCTTACAAAAGTCCAGATATAATACACCCATGGCTCTTGCCTTGTCCACTGACGCAGCCACTACATCACAGAAGGCCATTTGTTTGATCAGGTGGGACTTGCCCTTGAAGTCATGCTGTCTTTTATCACCTCCCTGTTCTTCATGTGCCTTAGCATAGCTCAGAGAAGGATGTGTTCCATGAACTTCCCAGCCACAGTGGTGAGGCTGACAGATTGGTAGTTCCAAGGGTCCTGCTTTGTATCCTTTTTAAAGATGGGTATAACTCACTTTTTTAAGTCACCAGGGTCTTCACCTGACTGCCAACAGATGGGTATTCCAGAATAACGTAAAAAAAGAGCTCTGAAAACTGATATGAACAAAACACATAAAAGGACTGGACGATGTCAGGGCTGCAGCTGGTAGGTTTGCATAACCTTATTTCCAGGCACTCACAGTATCTTGCTTTCCGGGGCTGAGCACACAACCATTATTTGTTTCACTGTTTGCAAGTGAAAACCACTATTCCTGCCGTTTCCATAAAACCAATAGCATAAAGAGCCAGTCTGCCAAAACAACTCTACATAGTAAGGAGAAATTACAATGCACAATGCACCAGTGTGCAAACCTCCCCAGCATGTGATAAACGCAAAGACTTTGAGTGGTCTACTGGTAACATCCACTAACACTAGATGAACCAAAGCAGATGGGAAAGGGGAATTCACATTCTTTAATAATTATTTCTAAAACTTGTCTGTGAAAGAGATAAGAGGTGCTGTCTTTGAATTAATCTGTTTGGTTCAAGCATGGACAGCTTGATCCTCTAGTGAATGATGCACATTTTGAAAGACTGCAGCTAATTTGAAGGTTTAAGCCTTACAAAAAGCTGCAGTTGAAAATGAACTGTAAGGATAAAACTCAGATGAAATGAGTTTGCCCCTAAAGGTATGGTTATTTATATCACCTTAAACTTAGCAAGGGGATGATGTATCAACTGAATAATTCCGAGAGAAAAAGTCCACAAAGCACTTTATTCTAGCGCTGGTACTAATGACCCATGGAAGTGTGCTTGCAATCATACATGCATGTCATCTGTAAACTGATGACACAGTAATCCTCACAGCAATAACTTTGTTTCAATGAGACTGCTGTCAAACTAAAACCAGCCTAAACTATTCAGTAGGTAGCTTACTATGAATCCACATAAGGTCAATATTAAAATAAGTTAAATAGAAAAGATTTTTATCAGTCTAACTTAAGAATAACTATTGACAAAGTGTCTGTAAAAAATAGCCTGTCTATTACGATTTACATGTAATCAGTAACACAATGCCCCATCCTATCCTCTCTCACTGTTTTCAAATCAAATTTAACTCACGACTAAGATGATTTTATCTCTTTCAGGCCTACGAACTCACCAAGGTTAAAGTTTATTTATGCATCCAAAATAGCGAGCAAAATTCTGCAACAGGAGCACTCGCAAAAATTCCCCCTTTCCCAAAGCTGTTTCAGCTAAATACACAAATGTGTACAGTTCTCTTTCCTCAACATTTGGGAACATGTTTTATACACGTGGGGAAGATTCTTTTAATATGAAACACCTAATAAACTGATTAACATTTAAATTATATAATCAATAGTTCAGAAAGGATAATTTTCTTACGTATTACAGTAAAGTCTATTCTAATTTTGCACATTTCATGGATCCTGTCTGCTAACATTAATTACAAACTGCTGAACAGGATGCTCACTCAGAAAGAGCTTGCTACGTTGTCTCCATCATGTAACTCACCTTTTTCTTGGCACGAGGTTTTATATCAGAATTTTCTCATGGTATCTGACTAGAATAGGATATAAGCCTCTATACTAAAATTTATACCAAAAAATAAGTACCAAAACATTGAATTTACCTAGAAA